ATCGCTCATTTCAGAATTTGCATTCAGTGTGCGTCACGGACGGATCAGTCGATCGGGACAAGCTCTCCATCACGTGCTCTACTAGCTAGTGCAAAATGTCTCGCCATTTGCAATGGTTCAGTACAGCGTGGTGTCTCGGACTGGCCGTTGATAATGTTGAGGACGGCTCAAGGAGGCTCATCACTCGAACGTGGACGAAAGCAGTGGCTCAACGACGTGACAGCGTTGAACCACGGCGTCGGGCTCGCTTTCGCTTGCTAAGTCCGGCGCTCACCACACGGCGTGTCTTTGATTCGGGCCACTGCAACAGTGATTAGTGCGGGCCATTCAGAGGGGATGATTGACAGACCAAAAAAGGCAAATACAATGCGCATTGCATACGCGGGTACACTTTCATAGTGCTTCCCTTCGCTCGGTGCTACTACCAGGCATAGGCCTCCGCCCACTCACACTTGCATTTGCTGTTTTTTTCTCCCTGCTCCTGGCGCGTCGTGTTGGTTCGGTGGTACTGGTACAGGCCTGGTATGGGTCTCCCGGCGCCAGAGCGAAGATCGAGCTTAGGGTCGATTCACGCGCAGGCCGAGGGGGCCCCGCAAACGCCACGCGACGGCGAGACAACGGCGAATCTTCCCCAACAACCCCAGGTGCTTTTCTTCTGTCTCTTTTTTCGCGTCTCTTTTTTTGCCCGTTGGCGGGGACCAAGCCTCGGACATCATGTGGTCTGCCAACACTCGTATGACCTTGGCCGTTTCGTGGCAACTTTGCAAGTCATTGTCGAAGGCACGACGGCAATGGCCTGCGAACAATGGTGGTGACTCGAGCGGCAGTTGGCCTGTCGGTACGTGGGAGGCGCCATTTGCAAGGGTACCAGCATAGCAGGGTGGGCTGGCATGGGCGCAAAGTATCGCGAGCCGAGCCTGCACTCGCAGCACCGATCCGTGATTCATCGGTCACGCGCGATAGCTAGACTTTGTTCAAAGATCTAGGTAGTGTAGCTGCTTGTAGGTAGCTAGGTGGTACGGTACGGTACGGCACTTGATCTGGCCTGGCTGGGCTGGGCTGCTGGTTGGGTCGGACATTTGGAGCTAGGGGGGGCCGAGCTGAGCAACTGGCTGGAACTGGGCCAGGCGACGGGCACGGCCCAGAGCGTGGCCACCAGCAACCACGCGAGCACAGCACAGCACCGTGAAACGACGTCGATGGTCCAATACGGCGGTACTGATTTCATCTGATGTGAGAGGTGGTGGTGGTCCGGTTTCGTGAGGCATTCTCAATGGGCGTGGCGTAGGGGTGCCGCATGGGGCATGGGGATACTTCGGAGTGGTCAAGACGAGAGGATCGTTGGAGATGGAGGGATGCCATGG